CCAGAGTCAGCATCAACAGCTACAACTTTAGTGACAAGATAGCCAACATCTGCTGAACGAGGCACCATTTCAGCCACCAGAGAGCCATCAGTGTGGACTGGGTAGAGAATCTGAGGATTGTTGTCGTTCTGATCTTGGACAAGAATGTTTACAGTCACGTTACTAGAAAGTGGAGGAGAGCCCCCGTCTTGAGCCTTAACGCAAATCTGAAAACCTTTTATCTGCTCGTAGTCTAAAGTGCGTACTGCATGGATGACTCCACTGTCAGAGTTTATGGATATATATGAAGAAACGGGCACCCCGTTAATTTCCGACTCTTGGAGAAAATAGGAAACACGAGCATTTTGGTTCCAATCAGCATCTTTCGCATTTAAGGATAAAAGAGACATACCCGGCATGTTATTTTCCATTACATATGCCGTATAAGATGCCATTTCGAAAACAGGGGTATTGTCATTAACATCTGATATTTTTAAGAATAACGTTATATTGCTCGACAGAGGAGGCACCCCTTCATCAGTTGCAATAACAGTGATGTTATAATTCGGTTCTGTTTCACGATCTAATAACGTATCGGTCACCAAGCTATAGAATGTGTTTGAAGAAGATATTATTTTAAATGGCACGTTTTCAAGTATAGAACAATGTAGGAGACCGTTATTTCCAGAATCGACGTCCTGCACATTAATAACAGCTATGACAGTCCCTGGCAACGCGTCTTCGGGTACTGAATTTGAAAATGACATGACAGATATAACCGGACTGTTATCATTTATATCAGTAACTTCAATTATTATTTTGCTGGAGTCAATAAGGCTGCCTCCGTCCTTAGCCTGAATGTTTAGTTGATAGTGCTTCGTTTTCTCAAAATCCAGTTGGCCAATTACTTTTACCTCACCGGATGTTGGGTCTAATTTAAACATTTCATTGACACTATCTGTGCTGTGCGATATCAAATATTCTACTAGCGCGTTTGATCCCTCATCAGCATCAGTGGCACTTACAGTAGTCACCAAGGTGCCTTTAAGAGCATTCTCTGCGACTGAACATTTATAATTTCTCTGTGTAAAAACAGGAGCGTTGTCATTAGCATCAACCACTGTAATGTGTATTTTAACTGTACCAGACATTTGCGGTTCCCCTCCATCAATAGCTGTTAATAACAGAGAAATCTCTTCTTGGCTTTCACGATCTAGCTGCGTCTGAAGAACCATCTCTACATATTTATTACCATTCGGCTGTGAATGCAGGTTTAAATTAAAATGATCTGAGGGTTTAAGGGTATAGGTCTGGAGAGTATTAACTCCCACGTCAGGATCCACCGCGCTTTCTAGCACAAATCGCGTTCCCGGCAGAGACACCTCACTTATTTGTAATCTTAATTCGGTATGAGGAAAAACCGGAGCATTATCATTCACATCGATGATTTCGACGGTAACACGATGGAACTCTATCGGGTTATCAAGAACAAGTTGAAAATGTATAGAACAAGGTGACGCTTGTCCACACAGCTGCTCTCTGTCTATTATTTCTTTGATCACCAATGTTCCTTTATCTCGAATCAGCTCAATGTGCTCACTATTGTCTCCGGTGAAAATTCGAGCCTTGCCGCTAACCAGTCTTTTCAAATTTAACCCTAAATCCTGTGCAATGCTGCCAACAAATGAACCCCTTGCCATTTCCTCCGGTATAGAATATCTGACATGAGTATAAACCGCCTCAATGCAACAGAGACCTATAATGAAGTATCGTACTTGCCATTTCATTGTCCAGTTCGTCTTTCTCCTTGTGTTGCCAAAAAACATTAATCCCACTGTGCATACAGTATAACTAGATGAACAACTCTTCTATTTAATTCCAACACCGAATCTTTACACGTACAGTAGATGACGCAGGAGTGGTTTCGTTGTGATAAAAAACACAGCGGTTATGTGTCATTGATCTCCGTTTTGTAATGCAGGTTCTGCACAGAATGTAAGCTGCTTTTTTTCTGTTACAATATGGGAGGGCCTTCTGAGATTGTTAAAACACAATTTCCCTGTCGATCAACAGCGGCACTCTGAGCCCATATGACGAACTACATTTATTTTTCTCTCTTTTTTACAAATTCAGAAAAATCTCCGTGCTTTTGTCATCAAATAATTTGTGAAACACGGGTTTTGCAACGTCTTCTGTCTCCTCAGTACTTTCATCTCGATGATATCTATGATAGTCACAGCAACAACGAGCAAAATGCAACCCTCAGTGTTGGGCAGGGGGTGATTATGGAATCTTCAGAGGCACATGATGTCCCGAATATCTGATTTAATCTTCCCAGACGAATATAAGATATAGTATACTTCATGAGAATAACAGGCCGAACTGTGACGTTAGTCTGTTTTCCTCTTTTTTGCATGCCTCTCACAATTATTCGGCCAAACACAAAAAAGTTAAACTTATTTATATATAAATATATGGGTAAAACGAACATAATATAATTATGAAAATACGAATATGCGAAGCATGAGAGTATTTAAAATTATTAAATAAATAAAACTGCAAGAAGAGCAACATTGAGGATTATGAAAACACCAACAATAATTAAAATAACACAACTCAAACTACAGTAGCTGTAGAAACTGAACGATATTGTGAGTTTTTTATGCTAACTCCACAGCCTTTGATGTGCGTTAAGTAATAAATAACTAGGTAATATTAAGAAACTGGAGAATGATATAAAAAGCTGTGCTCAAAAAGGCGTGGATACGCAATATCGGTCATTTACAAATGATTAACAGTCGATTATATTGGTCTAATTGCAGTTTCACTTTCATTTGGTTCAGACAGTTCAAAGGTAAAAAGAGCGTATTATAACAAAATCACTCATGAATTGATAAGGCAACCAATGCTCACCTCCATTGCAGTGTCCGTACTCTGAGGCGTGTTTTCTGCCTGCAAGCGCCGAATTGTCTCTGTACCTTTATCATCAACGTTCACAAGACTTTGACTATTAGGTCTCGTGTATCTATATTCAGTTTTCCCAGAGTCAGTGGTCAAACACACCTCGTAATTGTACAGGTGCTGTAAAGTTCCTGTAGCGCCAACATCTGCGTAACAGGGTGGGTAATATGCTCCCGGAATAACAGGAAGATTCCC